AGAAAACACAACACAAAAGAAAACGCAAATACAAAAACAATGCAAACACAAACACAATGCAAACGCAAAAAAATACAAACGAAAATACAAACAATTCAATGTTTCAAAAGCTTATAGCTTGAGCAGTGTTTCAGACAGATTAATGAAATTTCACTTGTAAGTAAAAGGTCTACTTCTCTGCCATTAATCAAATTTTGACCGAAGTAGTAATTTACGCTATTTCAAATTTTTCAAAAAAAAACGCATTTAAATTTATAAAGTACTAATACTACTCCACACTATTATACACATATTGTTTGGCGTTTACTTGGTGCGTAATTCTTTTTTCTATGAGATTCTATTTTATTTTAAAAATATTAAGTAATTAAAAATGGATTAAAAATTATGTCTATATCCCGAGTTGCCATCCCCCGGAGATCACTCCCGGTTTATTTTTGTTGTTGTTGTTGTTTTTTTTTTAATGAATGGATGAATCTAATTAACACAACTATTTTGTCTCTAACGAAGATTTTTCCTACAAATGTCCGTCTTGTACAACACTACTTTTTATGCCAGGAAATCATCTAAAAAAATGTTGGTCGTCTTATAGAAGTAAGGTATCACAAACTATATATTTAAATAACTGGAAGTGTTGTGGTTCGTGTAAAACGCCCAGCTGTCTTAAACGTCAGAAAATACGGTGTCTAAAAAATGACAAACTTTTATGGTTGATTTTTTATTGAAGCTATCAAACTTCTATACCAGGGGTCTCCAAACTACGGCCCGCGGGCCGGATGCGGCCCGCGAGGTCCTCTCATCCGGCCCTCGTAGATCTTTTTGTTCACGGAAAAAAAAGTTTGTTAGAAGTGGCTGAGGAAATTTGCCTAGAAAATTCAAAACAATTTGAAAATATAGCTTTGGGTGTGAATACCATTGCCCTCCGTGTTGCAGACATTGATGAAAACATTGTGAATCAAATAGTGAAAAGTTTCGCAATTTTGCAATTGCAATGGGTGTGTCGCTGGACAGCTGTTCCATGTTTTTGGAACAAGTACAGGGCACCAACTTGACGTACTTTCAGCAGTGCAAGGTCTTCATGGCTGAAGCAACAACTGAGTTCCCCACAACATTTGCATGCGAGATCATCAAAGACATCCAGCTGCAGTTTCAATAGCGGTTTTCGTACTAGGATTCAAAGGCAGAAGAAGTGAGACTGTTTCAAAACCCATTTGAAGCAAATGTAACCAGTTGCCCAGATGAACTGCAGATGGAGGTCCGTTGAATTGCAAGCAAATGACTTCCTTAGAGACAAGTTCAAAAAATAGCGGGTGGGTTTTTGAATTTGCCCAAGGAGTACATACTTAGACCACGAGTGTGTTGTCGGCCCCCGACAGTGTTTCGTACAGACTTTTTCTCATGGGAGGGGGGGGGGATTTAAAATGTGTATATATTTCTATATAAATTATATATGCGTGGAAGAAACTTTGGCCCCCGAACTGATATTTGATAGTTAATGCGGCCCTTCGGGCTGAAAAGTTTGGAGACCCCTGTTCTATACAACTGTATTTGGTTAGGGGTGTAAAAAATAAAATTATATGTTCATAATACCTTCATAAAATTTATATATTTAAGTTAAAACATGGTAAATTTTTATTGTATGATTTATAGTATATTCTAATATCTAAATTTTTCTTCCTTTTTTTAAAAAATTTTAAAGCCAAACAGTTATTTCGTTTGAAAACTATATATTTGCCCCACTATGCAGGACCCATAAATGTGGGTTGTTGTTTTTTGTGTGTTTTTTGTGGGGTTTTTTTTTCTGTTTGTTTTTGTTTTTTAATCTTTAAAATGTAACTTTTACAAGTTAACTCGTGAACTTGAAAGTTTCCGGTAATTAGACAATGCCACATTAATCCGGTTTAAACACGCCACCAAACTAGAGGAAGTGGGAGAGTGCCTCTCCAGAATCTTAACCCGTCAAGTATCGAGGAATCCTTGTATCGAGACAACACGGTATCGATTTGGCCAGGGCGCTCTCGTTACACAGCGAGCAAACGGCAGATATTGTGTCAGATCTATTTATAGATTTACATTTAATAGGAGATATTAAAAAAATGTGCTATAAAAATGATTTCTTTTATTGGCGTCAAGGGATAAGAATGTTGCCTTGGCCAAGTACATTAATGTTACCTTTGTGGTGAATCTAATATAGCACTGGAGGGGGGGGGGGGTCGACCAATGGCGCCAATAGTCAATATACACATACATATACGTACACCTTTGTTCCCTCTAAGCTGCGCCGCCGCAGAGGCGTAGCTATCTATTACGGCGCCCGGGGCGGATTATCAATTTTGCACCCCTTGTCTGTGAAAAAGTGTCTCCCCTTTCCCCCCCCCCCCCCCCTCCCCGCACAGTTAGAAAGGTTGGTGGCGCTGCTTACCAGTTGCTATACCGTAACATTTTCTATTTCGGTGCCACAACATTGATATAGAAAACATAACATTCTTGTATAAGACTTTTAGAACAACCCGCACACAAAATACACGTTGCACACTAGCTTTTTCTCCTTAGAGGAAATGTTGACCTACACACACACACACACACACACATACAATTATAAAAGGCCTACATATATAAATATATAAATCAGCATTAAGTATTGAAATATTAAATCAACTAGCCATACATTTAAATCTTATTCTCAAGAATCCTTCACATCTAAACCTCTAACAAGTCATAACTTTAAAAAAAAAAAAAGAATTATAGTGATAAATTGTTTTGGAACTGTTCCAAGGGCAGACGACTCGATCTAGAGAATGTGTCAATTCTTTTTTCTTATCATTTTTTTTTTTTTGCGTCCAGCGGTTCCATCCTATCTTAAATCCCAGACGTGTGTTCAAATAACCATTGGAGGATCTTAACCCTAGTCCTATATTCAAGAGACCGCCACTACTCTTGTCTCTACAGACCGCCACTGCCCTAGTCGCACATTCTACAGACCGCCACTACCCTAGTCCTATATTCTACAGACCGCCACTACCCTAGTCCTATATTCTACAGACCGCCACTACCCTAGTCCTATATTCTACAGACCGCCACTACCTCAGTCTCTACAGACCGCCACTGCCCTAGTCGCACATTCTACAGACCGCCACTACCCTAGTGCTATATTCTACAGACCGCCACTACCTCAGTCTCTACAGACCGCCACTACCCTAGTCCTATACAGACCGCCACTACCCTAGTCCTATACAGACCGCCACTACCCTAGTCCTATATTCTATAGACCACCACTACCCTAGTCCTATATTCTACAGACCGCCACTACCCTAGTCCTATATTCTACAGACCGCCACTACCCTAGTCCTATATTCTACAGACCGCCACTAACTCAGTCCTATATTCTACAGACCGCCACTACCTCAGTCCTATATTCTACAGACCGCCACTACCCTAGTCATATATTCTACTGACAACCCCATAACATTTTATAAAATATCGTTAAATTAATTGTCCAAAAGACTTGTTGCTGAAACCACAAAGCTACACCTGGAGTCAGGTTGAGAAGATACCACAGGACAGAGGACTCTGGATATCTTTGGTTGGCGGCCCATACCCCAGCAGGACAGAGGACTCTGGAGATCTTTGGTTGGCGGCCCATACCCCAGCAGGACAGAGGACTCTGAAGATCTTTGGTTGGCGTCCCACACTTCAGCAGTGATGATGAAAAGATTTTTGTATTTCCGATAATCCTACATTTTACCTTGAAAAAAATTAAAATATATCTCAGGCGGGGGAGGGGGGGGGGGCGAATGTGGGGTGGGGGCGCTTACCCCATAGCCACCCTTTAGATCCCACCATTCCGACATAATATACAGTCCGACAATACTCACAATGATATCCAGTCTATACTACAGCTAGCGTGCTCTTTTTCCTTAGGCCAAGATATTTATTGTCCCATTTCTTATTTCCCTTCACATTTTTTTATAGTTTGTTGAAAATCGGGACTAAAAATATGGACCGAAAACTAGTGTTTTGTCAGATATTTTTCTGTGATTTAAGGGTTGGGGATTTTTGTGTGTGATATTTTTGGTGGTGGGATTTTTGTGTTTTACATTTAGATGGATTCGGTAATCGTCGTATCGATATCGGTGAATTTCTGCCTGAGGTATGGGGTATTGAGTGGGTCGACTAATACTGGTCGGTGGGGGAGGGGGGGGGGGGGGAGGGGCGTACTAGAACTCGGGAGGGGGGGGGGGGGTGAGCAACACTCTAGGGGTGCAGATCGGTTTTGCTGTCTAGTTCTTCGGGAGTTATGTTTTAGAAATCTTTGGATATTTGCGACGTGGAGGGAGGGGGGGGAATTATGTTGTGGACTATCACGTTATGCTTAGAATCTGTGTGTGTGTTTGTGTTTTGGAATGTTGGCAGTTCTCTCATTGTGCGAGGTGACGTGGAGTGCGTGGTCTGTGCTTTAGAGGGCGTGGTGTGATTTTTTGAGGGTGTGGTGTGTTTTTTGGAGGGCGTGGTGTGTGGGTTGGAGGCGTTGTGTGTTTTTTTGGAGGGCGTGGTGTGTGCTTTGGAGAGCGTGGTGTGTGGGTAAAAAGGCGTGGTGTGTACCTTGGAAGGCGTTGTGTGTTTTTTGGAGGGCGTGGTGTGTGCTTTGGAGTGCGTGGTGTGCGCGTTGGAGGGCGTGGTGTGTGCGTTGGAGGGCGTGGTGTGCACTTTGGAGGGCGTGGTGTGCGATTTGGAGGGCGTGGTGTGCGCTTTGGAGGGCGTGGTGTGCACTTTGGAGTGCGTGGTGTGCGCTTTGGAGGGCGTGGTGTGCGCTTTGGAGGGCGTGGTGTGCACTTTGGAGGGCGTGGTGTGCGCTTTGGAGGGCGTAGTGTGCGCTTTGGAGGGCGTGGTGTGCGCTTAGAAGGACGTGGTGCGCTCTTTAGGGGGCGTGGTGTGTGGACCAAAACCATTCCTTACTATTGTGTCAAAAAACTTGCCATTTACTAAATTTGTTTTGTTTTCAGGCCTGGTCAAACTTGGAGTACACTGTGTCTCAGGCAAGAGGGTGGCCATCAAAATAGTCAACAGAGAGAAGCTGAGCGAGTCGGTTCTCATGAAGGTAAGGACAGGGCTTCAGTGGGTTTTTTAGTGGGTTGATGTATAGTATTGGGTTTTTATCGGGCTACAGTTGGTTTTTAGTGGGCTGATGCATAGGATGGGTTTTTATGGAAGTGCAATGGTTTTTAGTGAGTTTATGTAGAGTATTGGGTATTATAGGGCTACAATGGTTTTTAGTGGTCCTTATGCTCCACAAGGGGTCCACAGGAATGATGATGGGCTAAAATGTGTTCTTGTGGACTTATGAACGGGATGCTCAAGGGCTACAATGTAATCTAGTATAGATAAAACATACATATATAAATAAGTATAATAAGTATATATATATATATATATATATATATATATATATATATATATATATATATATATATATATATATATATATCAGCTAACCCATCTCTTTGAAGTGTAAAACAAAATGGGTTATTGTTATTCTGGTTACTACATTTTAGGGAGAAGCTATATGGAATGACATCGAGTAAGGGAGATTTATTTTTTTATTTTAATTTATTTTTTGTTTGGGGGGGGGCAGTTTTTAATTATCAGTTAATTAATTTTAAAAAAAAACAGAATGCTTTCTTTTCTATAAGTTTTCGAACACTAAACATACACATACCACAGTTCCGATCTACATTTTTCCAACCCACAACGTCTTTTTAACAACAGATAACTCTTACCCCCACCCCCTCCTCCCTAATTGTGTAAGATTCGATTACATACTGCACGTCAACTACTGCGTCACTTCCGGGTTGTTATTTTTTTTTCAACTTTGACGTACATACCACAGAGCCGCCCGCACCCCACCCCCCAGACACACACCCACCCCGGCTGTCAACAATTATACGGCCCCCTAGGTTTAAAACTGCAGCTACGGCTTCGGGCCATCGCACGCTTCCTTAGCAGACGTCAACACTAATAATGCCTTACGTCATTCAAGTAGATAATCTTTTTTCCTAGTACATTTTTTTTTAATTTCCAATTTGTATTTATTTTTTAAAATTGTCTTATTTTGTTTCTGATTCAGTTTTTTAATCACTTGTTTTTATTTGCTATTCGTATTTTTAAAACATTTGGGTTTTTTTCTTTTAATTTCCGATTTACCTTTTTTAATCGACTTATTTCCAATTTGTTATTAGTTGTTTTTTTATTGTTTTGTTGTTATTTAAGATTCTTTAATGTTTTTGTTTCATTTCCGATTCGTTATTTATTTATATTATTTATATTTTATATTTTAGCTATAATTTGTTTTGTTTTGTTTTGTCTTTTTTTTACCTTTTTTTAAAAAATTGTGTTGTATTTAATTTCCGGTTCCTCATTTTGAAAAACAGACTTATTTTCAAACGTAAAAACGAATGTTGCACGCGTTTCCTAAATCCTAGACATACGCTTAAACCGTTATGCAGTGCCTTAAAAAGCCGACCTACTTAAATTATTTTTATGTTCAGTAGGTCCAAACTCAATATAAATTTGTGCCTAATTTAATAGCTCTAACCAAATTAGTACAATTTCCCAAATTAGAATTAACGGGGGATTTTTGTCCATTTTCTGCAACTTATTTGTTCTAAAATGAAAAAATAAAAAACACTTTTGAGTCTTCCCTCACAATACAAGCCTAGAGACTAAAACCCCCACATGACGTCATTAATTTGTCTTATTGGGTTATTCGCCCTTGATTCTCTTGACGTCAGCTGTTTGCATTGGGTGAGTGTGTCGCTGACTTTTAATCTGTTTAAAAGGGCTACACGCGCGGAGCGTGGTTCTAGAGTGGGCGGAGGGGGAGGTGGGGGGGGCTGATAAATGGATTTTATTTTTATTTAATTGGCAAGGTTAAAAATAACGATGTACCCGTTTTTTTTTTGTTTTTTTTTTTTTGTTTTTTTTTTACACGAAATTTTATTTAAACGAAATCTCTTATTTTTATTGTAAAGTATTTATTTAACCAAATAAAAATATAACATTAATGTTGAATTTAAGGTCATGACTTTAAAACACGTGTACAAAGTCAAAGACATGTACACACATAGATGTACACAAACATGCAGTGGCTTGGATAGGGTTGGGGCATTATTCTTTCTTTATAGAATTACATTATTGTTAGAGGAATATGTACGGGGTGGGAGTGGTGGTTCCTGGCTACAAGAGGATGAATAGTGACAGAAAAATCGATTGTCGCTTTAAGTGAGTCAATGTTTATACATTGCCCTGATACAATGTTTGACATACAAATGTTTTGAATTTATAAGCCTAAACTAATTATTTTTTGTACTTGAAGAATATTTTTGAAATTCTCATATTGAAATTCATATTGAAATTCTCATTTATTCGTGAATATTTTTTTATGTTAACTTAAAAAGGGATTATTTTGTTGAAACTGCATATAAACCACACCCCTTGTCGATCTTCCCCCCCCCCCCCTACCCCCACCCATTCAGCTTTTCTCTTTTAAAAAATTTGAGTTAAGTCCCCTTTATCAAACACATATATAAAACTGGTCCTGAAAATCTCTTTGACCATCTTCCTCGTATACAGTTATATTTGTCAGTGGAAAGTCCTTGCTAACTATCTCTCCTTCCCCCTCCCCCCCCCCCCCCCCCACAATTTTTTATGCAAGAAACTAAATATCAAGATATGTCTAAAATCTGTTATTGACTAGATATGTCAAGAATAGTCTACTCACCGAATATGTCTGAAATCGATTACTGACCGATTATATCAGGTATCATATTACAGACCGAATACGTCTGGAATCGATTACTGTCTGAATATGTCAAGAATCTTTTGCTGACCGAATACGTCTGGAATCGATTACTGTCTGAATATGTCAAGAATCTTTTGCTAACCAAATACGTCTGGATTCGATTACTGGCCGAATGTGTCAAGACTCGTTTGCTGACCGAGTTTAAGTCCGGCTAAAATCGATTACTAACCGTATTCAAATCCTCGGTGTAAAAATACAATTGATGGCATGTATCTTGGTACCACCTAACGGAATTGAGTAAACCTGAGATGCTACTTTCACGGGGACTTTTTTGTAATAAATCTAAAGCCACAAGAAAGCTCCATTCTATTTAACGTTATAGATAGGCAATTAAAACCTGTCGCATTTATAAGGCGGTGGTTCTCAGATAGGCAATTAAAACCGGTCGCATTTATAAGGCGGTGGTTCTCAACTTTTGTATTGATGTACCTTTTAGTTTGTTTCTTTATTTCAACTACATAAGCCTAGCTTTTTTAAACATAATATAATAGAACCTAACCTAACCTAGCCTAACTTAATTCAACCTAATCTAACCTGATTAAGCCTAATTTGATTAAACCTAACCTAACTTGATAAAACCTAACCTAACTTGATTAAACCTAACCTCATTAAACTTAACCTAACTTGAGTAGCTAAGCTAACCTGATTACCTAACATTAACTGATTAAACCTTACTTGATAAAACCTAACCTAATTTGATTAAACCTAACCTAACTTGATTAAACCTAACCTAACTTGATTAAACCTAACCTAACTTGATAAAACCTAACCTAACTTGATAAAACCTAACCTAACTTGATAAAACCTAACCTAACTTGATAAAACCTAACCTAACTTGATAAAACCTAACCTAACTTGATAAAACCTAACCTAACTTGATTAGACCTAACCTAACTTGATTAAACCTAACCTAACTTGATAAAACCTAACCTAACTTGATAAAACCTAACCTAACTTGATAAAACCTAACCTAACTTGATAAAACCTAACCTAACTTGATAAAACCTAACCTAACTTGATAAAACCTAACCTAACTTGATAAAACCTAACCTAACTTGATTAGACCTAACCTAACTTGATAAAACCTAACCTAACTTGATAAAACCTAACCTAACTTGATAAAACCTAACCTAACTTGATTAGACCTAACCTAACTTGATAAAACCTAACCTAACTTGATTAAACCTAACCTAACTTGATTAAACCTAACCTAACTTGATAAAACCTAACCTAACTTGATTAAACCTAACCTAACTTGATAAAACCTAACCTAACTTGATAAAACCTAACCTAACTTGATAAAACCTAACCTAACTTGATAAAACCTAACCTAACTTGATAAAACCTAACCTAACTTGATAAAACCTAACCTAACTTGATAAAACCTAACCTAACTTGATTAGACCTAACCTAACTTGATAAAACCTAACCTAACTTGATAAAACCTAACCTAACTTGATAAAACCTAACCTAACTTGATTAGACCTAACCTAACTTGATAAAACCTAACCTAACTTGATTAAACCTAACCTAACTTGTTTAAACCTAACCTAACTTGATAAAACCTAACCTAACTTGATTAAACCTAACCTAACTTGTTTAAACCTAACTGAGTCGGGGGGGGGGGGGTGGCACTGGTATATCTTTTTCTATAAAAATTATATTTCGTTTGGGGTCGGTAGGCGTTCATCGACCCCCCCCCCCCCCCCCTGAAGAGATCCCTGAAAGCAACTGATTAAACCAAATCTCCCATCAGTGTGCTCGTCCTACTTTAAAATGAAAGTGAATAAATCTGGGTGTAGTTTATGTCGAGGTCTCTCATGGTACTTGTAGACACCGTTGAGAACTTTTACGTCGGCTAATGTGTTGCCGTCTTTAGCTTGCTCATTGATTAATGGGATCGGTCAAGTCATAATTACTTTGAGGTTTAAACCTACTCCCTACTAGGTTGGATAGCAAGAACCTTATATAGGATATTGTTTATGAAATACACACTTGAAATAGGCTACCAAAGTGGGGAAAAAATTTAAAGTTCAAAGACCCGAAAAAAAAAAATATTTCTAAAAATAAGTTGTTTTTTTTAAGTTAACGACTAAACAATTAATTAAGACAAGTTATGACTTTAAAAAAAAACGTTCCACGCTTTTCTAGAATCTTCTTGATCCTACAGTCATCGCCAGTATGACACTTGGCGACAAAGAACGTGCATCTTCCCCCCCCCCATACACACCCACTCACGC